AAATCAGAATTAGATGTACTTTCAAAGTTTTATTATTTATTTATAAAAATATTGACATTGATAATTTTTTTTTGTGAATAATTCAAAACTTTGTCAATGGGAATTCAGGTTTCATTTACCTTGTACCTTTACCCTTGTAATGAATATTTTAGGTTTAAACTCTGTCGATGGAAAGTCAATAGTTTATTAGGAAACGAAACCATTATTGAAAATTATGCTTCCCATACTATTCATTTTCAAATAATCAATAATAAAAAAAAAAATAGAATTTGTCGCAGTAGTTCGAATGACAGTGAAACAGTAAGGTAAGATCAAAATTTATAAATTAGTGTTTTATTTTTATTCAAAAATTTCTTCCCCCTTTACAGAAAACAAAGAAAAAATGAAACTACAAATGAAGCTACTCTGTATCATCATTTTAATGATTTTTGAAAATTATAATTATGGGATCAAATGTGATAAACTAAAGAAAGAAGAAAGTTTCTCAAAATGGCCTCAAAATGTCATAAGGGAACTGAAGAAACATCAGAACTATCAAATTATGTTGATTAGCAGCGATGAAGGAACTGATAGAGAACAATTTATCCAAGAAGTACAAAAGAATATCCCAACCTTGCACTTCACTGACTTCTATTTGAAACGAATTGATCAAATCAAGAAAATTGATTCCTTGGAAAATCCACGAGAGACAACTTTGTTTATTATTGTCCAAGAGAGCAGAACAAACCAAAACAACAGAACCAAAAAGGTAATAAATTTTATCCAACAATTATCAGAACATTTTGTTCGACCACAATGTCTAATTGTTCACTTCTTGAATTCTAATGATTCTAATCAAACTCCAAATTCCGAAAAATTTCTCCAGAATTTGTGGAAGGATTATTTTCTAGACGTCACTATTCTTGTTGTTAATAAAACCATTATCAATAGAGTGACAATTCATCAACTGAATCCGTTTCTCAATTCCTACGAATCGAAACAATTCACGAAAAAAACACAACTGTTTCCAAACAAACTGAAAAATTTACACGGATACAAAATCAAGGTTGGATTTTTCGATCGTCCACCGATGGTAAAACTAAATCAAAATTCAGCTCAACAAAGAATTGATGTTCAAGGTCCAGATGCGGAGACTACAAAGATTTTCTCCCAAAAGATGAATTACGAGCACTTAACAGAAGCAACAAACGAAAGTACATTTGGTAATCTATCATGCAATCCAAATTATCTTTCGGGTCTTCTTCGCAAGGTTCAACACAAAAAAATCCAATTTATCGGTGTATCGTCAATATTAAACAAAATTTGGTGCAAAGAATTACTGTACACAACCACAACTTTCGGAACTGATCACATTGTGGCAATAGCTCCAGTATTCAAATCAACCTTTATAACAATCAAAATCGGTTCAAACTTCTACTATTCAATCCTGATGACAATCCTGATCACACTAACTATTCTGGCAACAGTAAAACTTCTCAAATTTTCTGAAAATTGGACTTGGATAATAACTGTTGGAATTCTCCTCGGAATTGGAGCAGACAACCAACCGAGGAAATTGTCAGAACGAATCATTTTCACAACCCTCTTGATTATCTGCTTTTACTATGCCTTCAACATTTTCGAATCACTAACGGATTTTATGTTTCAAATCGACAAGCTGAGTTCGATAACTAATTTGAATGATCTGATGAACAGTGGTCTCCAATTCGTTTCCGAATTGAATGTAATAGCAATTTCGATTCAAAGTGTGAATCAGGATAATTTCACCAAATGGGTAAAAAATGGTGGTGTACTCTCCTTACAGGACTGTATTTCATTTCTTCTGGAACATAGGAACATAACTTGTGTTATGAGATTATCTTACGCTGAATATTATGCAAATTTTTACAGGGAACAAAATCTAGTTGAAATTGTTCCTGAATTTATAATGTCTTCGAAAATTGGATTTATTGTCGAGGCTGGATTACCATTCGTTGGAGAATTTGAGCGACTTAACAGTTTACTGATGGAATTTGCACTATTGGAGAAGTGGAACTTGAAGACTTCACTGAACCAAACACAACATCTTCACTTAATTGATGCTGCTAACAAGAATTCAGAGAAATCCGAAGATATTGGAGTAGAGTTCTTATTGATTGGCTTATTGGTTGTTGGTTATTTAGCGTCGATTCTGTCATTCTTCTTTGAGTTGATTTTTTTCAAGAGTAAGGAAATTCTTCCAATTGTATTGTAATTGATGTTTATTCATTTGGATCGTGAATTTCTGAAAAAGGGATCAACTCTGAAAATCGTTAGTCACTTTCACAGAAATGAAGCTAGGGAAAATGAATTTCTTTTCGAAATTCACGATTCACTTGATCTTTAAATGAATAAATTAAAAGTTTGTGCACATATCATTTGAAATATTTAATTGAGATGCATGAAAATTGACCAAATCCCCATGAGACATAGATCTTCTTGTCATAAAATCATTTTATATAATTAACATCAGTCAGAAATCTTACTGGACATATATTATACACATTATAATTTTCATTTGAAATAATGTGCAGGTGACGTAAAATATATTTAACATACATTTCACGTGACATAAATCTCATGTACTTGACATACGCGTCATCTATAACATAAATTTTGTTAGACCTAAAAATCACTTGTAAAAAATTTTGTTTGAAATAAAACTTATGTAACAGAAATGTTGCTTCATATAAAATGCAATTGACATATGTTAAATTTAGCATAAAAATTATTTGACATCATTTTTATAATTGAAATAAAAGATAAATGTCACTTGACCATAAAAGATAAATGTAACTTGACATAATTCTTACTTAACACAAGACTTACTAGAAATAAGTCTCATTTGTCACAATACATATTTAGAATAATTTCAGTATAATATAAGTGCTACTAGACAAAAGTTTAATAATAATAATAATAATTTATTGTCGGTAGAATTTTACACGGAGAGAGAATATACATTAAATTTTGTAAAAATATTTTCAAATTGGGGAAAAAGTGCAACAAAGCGAAATTTTGATATAGAAAATACTAAACTTTAAAAAAAGTTTTGTGAAATTTATTAAAGTTATATTAGAATTTAATTAATATTCTTGATATTTGATATAATTATACTAAATTTCACATAAGTTTTTTTAAAGTTTAGTATTTTTTACTCTCTAAATTTCGCTTTGTCGCACTTTTTCCCCAATTTGAAATTATTTTTACAAAATTTAATATATATTCTCTCTCCGTGTAGTATTTTTTATTTATTATTATAATTTAGGTAATGAATATTTCACCTTCGAACTTTGTTGGTGAAAAATCAACAGCATAATGGAATACGAGACATTTTCTGAAAATTATGGTCGCAACACTACCAATTTACAAATAATCAATAATCAATAATAAAAAATAGAATTTGTCGCAGTAGTTAGAAAGACAGTGGAACAATAAGGTAAGGTTAAAATTTGTATATTTCCTCATCTGTTACTATCAGCACCCATATAATTTTTAAATTTATCTTGGTTTTGAAACAAAAATGAAATCGAAACTGCCAAATGTGGCTAACAGCCTAAATAGATTCTAAAATTACTGCTTCTCTCTTTACAGGAAACAAAAAAATGCAACTACAAATGAAGCACTTTATGATTATTTTGATGATTTTTGAAAATCTTAATCGTTGGACCAAGTGTGACAATGAGAGTTTATCAAAATTGTCTCAAAAGATCATAAGGGAACTGAAGAAAGATCAGAACTATCAAACTATGTTGATTAGCAATGATAAAAGAACGGATAGTGAACAATTTATCCAAGAAGTACAAAAGAATATCCCAACCTTGCACTTCACTGATTTCTATTTGAAACGAATTCAACAAATCAAAAAAATCGATTCCTTGAATAATACACGAGACACAACTTTGTTTATTATTGTCCAAGAGAGCAGAACAAACAGAAACATCAGAACCGAAAAGGTAATGAATTTCATCAAACAATTATCAACCGTTCGAATTCAACCACGGTTCAAGTTTCTGCTATTCAATCATGATGACATTCCTTATCACACTAACCATTCTAACAACTGTCAAACTTCTTAAATTTTCCCAAAATTGGACTTGGATAACAATTGTTGAAATTCTCCTTGGAGTTGGAAGAGGCAAACAACCGAGGAATCTACCAGAACGAATCATTTTCACAACTCTTTTGATTATCAATTTTTACTATGCCTTCAATATTTTTGAATCGTTGACAGATTTCAATTTTAAAATCGTAGAACAAAGGAGGATAAGTACCTTGAATGATTTAGTGAAAAGTGGTCTGCAATTCATTTCCGAACCGAACGTAGGACCACTTTCGATTCAAAGTGTCAATGAAGATAATTTCACAGACTGGGTGAACAATGGTATTGAATTCTCTATAAATGACTGCATTTCATTTCTACTTGAACATAGGAACGTAACTTGTGTTATGAGATTATCGAACGCTGTATGGTACGCAAATTTCTACAGGGAACAAAATCTAGTTGAATTTGTTCCTGAATTTATAATGTCAGCGGAAACTGGACTTATTGTCGAGGCTGGATCACCATTTGTTGGCCAATTTGAACGTCTACACAGATTACTGACGGAGTTTGCATTATTGAAGAAGTGGAAATTAAAGAATTCACCGAACCAAACTCGATATCGTCAACTAATTGATCTTGCTGATAAGAATTCGAAGAAATCGGACGACATTAAAATAGAATTTCTCTTGATAGGCTTATTGGTTGTTGGTTATTTAGCGTCGACTTTGACATTCATCTTTGAGCGAATTTTTGGCAAGAGAAAAGTTGTGCCTAATTAGTTAAAAAGTAACTACATTTTTTCGCCACTGAAATATCAGCTTCTAATTGTATTATAATTGACGTTTATTCATTTGTATCGTGAATTACGAAAATTTACTAAATATATTTAGTATTTAATATTTAAATTTAAATCAAAATATTTTTGGCATCTACTTACTGACTGTCGTGCTCCAACATGATGGACGCCTTCATCACATCTTTCTTGACAACTGGTCCGATACGAATGCCAGCGTACTGAAACAAAAAATTAAATAAAAATTAAAAAGAAGAAAACTTTTTTTGAAAATCGCTCGAAAGAAAAAAAAATTATTTTATTACTTAAATTTTACTATAATCTTAAAATTATTATTGAAATTGTTACGTGAGTTTATGAAAATATTTAATCAGGAGAAAGCTGAGAGGGTGTTTTAGAATAAGGAGTTGGAATAAGTGAGGAAAGAAGGGGTATCGAAGAAAATCCAAGATAAATCGGTATGCGTGGGTTATAGTGATGGAATAACACGCGCGTTGTGAATGCAACACGTGACATCCGGGTAGGTATTTCTTTTTGTTTCGCCAATTTACTTATTGTCATCGACAATTTTATTCCTCAAATGTAGCACTGAAAATATTTTAACATAACAGTAAATTTTGTCTTTAAATATCATGAAAAAAAAATTAAAAAATACAGTAGCTAAAATCAGGGAAAAAGTTCAAGACGAGTTTAATTGTATAACAAAACTTTTCAATTATCTTTAAAAAATACTACCAAATCAATTTTTGTAAATTAATATATATATAATTATATTAATTAATTAAGAAATCAATAAAATTCAATTTTTTGAATTGTCACACTTGAGAGTGTGACGAAAATTTTTCCAAGCGAGTACATATATTGAGCATATACCAATATGAAGAATCAACGAGTGTAGCTGTCAACTAATTATAGGCAATTAATGGCTGAAATTTTTTCACACTCTCTCGTGAGGCAGATGAAAATAAGAGGAAGGGGGGAGAAGAAAAAACTTCCCACTTCCTGTTACCAAGAGGGGGTGACACGACTTCTCAAGAACCTGTTCGACACTGAGACTGGACCACGCTCTTAATTGGCCCTTAATTACTCGGGTTTTTACTCTCAACCGCAACGAAACAAACTGTCGATAAGGAGGATCGATATTTTCTTTCTTTCCTTCATTTCCTCCTATTCAGGGTATTTTTTTTGTTTTACTCCCATTATCACGAAATATAATAAACGAAACAAAAAAGGACAAATACGAACAATTTTTTACTATCGATTAGTAGTTTTTTACTATCAAATTATTATTTTTCTACTATCTTAGTAGTTTTTTTAACTATCAATTAATAGTTTTTTACCATCAAACTTGTAGGTTTTTTACTATTAATTAATTTTTCTTCACTATCAATATTAGCAGTTTTTTTACTATCAAATTTTGTTTTTCACTATTAAATTAGTAGTTAATTTAACTATCAATTAATTAATAGTTTTTGACCATCAAATTTGGGGCCGTCCATAAACTACGTCACGCCTTAGAGGGAGGTGGGGGGGGGGGTGGAATTCATTTTTTGTGACGTTCTGTAGAAAAAATGGCGCTAAAGCATGTAAAATTTGTGACGTGGGTAGGGGGGGGGTGGAAAAATTATCCAAAATTGTGTGACGTAGTTTTTGAACGGCCCCTTTGTAGGCTTTTTTTACTATTAATTAATAGTTTCTTTACTATCAATTAGTAGTTTTCTCTTTTGAAACTTTTAGGTTTTTTTACTATTATTTTCTACTGCCAATTAGTAGTTTTCTACTATCAAATTGAAAGGTTTTTATTTACTATATTAATTAGTAATTTCCCTTTATCAAAATAGTAATATTTTTAATATTAAGTAGTATTTTTTTTTACTATCGCAATTAGTAGTTTTCAACTATCAATTGCTTGTTTTCTTTTACTATCAAATTCGTTAGTTTTTTTTTACTATTAAAACTAGTAGTTTTCTACTATCAAAATAGTAGTTTTTTAAAACATTATTTATTAGATAAATGTGTATATAAATCAGTTGATATTTTTCAGTTTAAAATATTTTATCATATGGGGAGAGTGTGCCTCAAAACTTGGATTGATAAAGAGCTCGAGCGTAACGTCTAGTGTATTTTGCTTATCAACCAGAGAAGGTATCGAGTTCCTGTGGCGAGTGCAATGATAGGCAATGACTGGCGGATGTGGCTCCAGGGACGTAGCGATAATTGTTTTTCATTTTCAAAGCGCACGTAATCCACACACACACACACACGTCTCTCCGGAAATCAACATTTTCAATTCATTTGCAAATAACAAATATTCAAAATTGCATTTACTATTATTCATAATAATAATAACAATAATATAATAATAATAGTAATAAAAATAATAATAATATTATAGTAATAAAAATAATAATAATAATAATAATAATAATAATAATTATTATTATTATTATTATTATTTATTATTATATATTATATTATAATGTCCCGTTAATTTTCAAATACATAAAATAAAATTATTATTATTATTATTATTATTATGCTTAATATTATAATTTGTACTTTTCACTTTCTAGAAGTTTATAATAATTTAATTTTTTCTGCGATTTCGTGTCAAATTTCGAATTTGAAAGAAAAAAAACGTATTAGACAAATTTCGGCCCTTTCTTCTTTTGATTATTGTTGTTTTGCGATTACAATTTTTTGCATCGTTTATCTTTAATAAATATACGAATAAACGTATATATATATGCAAAGTGCGATAAGGTAAACGTAAACCTCAAGCTACCGGATACGAAACCGACACTTCGTCCTGAGAAGATAACTGTCGAGAGATTATACTCTTAGTGCGTATATGACTCACTATTGGTCTTAGAGATTAGAAATTTTACATTTACATAGGTATTAGTTGCTATTTAGGCCTTTCCTCGCCCAAATACATTTTTTAACTTTGTATCCCTAAAACTACAATTTAAAAATTGCTAAAAGTCAAGAAAGAAGGAAAGAGCGCAAGCAACGATGCAAGATAAGATCAATTCAAAAATACCAATAACTTCTGTTTTAAATAAACATTTAATTATTATTGTTTTTTTTCCATGGGAATTAAGATTTTCAAAAATTTTAATTTTAAACATTTTGAAATTCAATAAATTTTAAGAATATTATTCTAAAACATGACCGAGTAATTTAATCATTATTTTATTTTATTAAGAGCATTGGTACTGTAACATCTTCAAAATTATTTTCATCATTTCAATATTCAATTATTATTTCTAAAATTTTTAACTAAAATTCTTTTTTAAATCAATTATATTTAATAATTTTTGAAAATGTCCGTTGAGAATTTTCAAATCCATTTGTTTATAATAATTCAATTTTACTTGAAATTTCGATTATTCGGAAACTCTTTAATTAATTATATATTAGAAAATAAAAACTTCAAATAATAATTATTTTTTAGTGAAATTCAATTAAACTTTTTTAAAAATATTTATTCTACAGAATTTTTAGTTAAAAGTAAGAAAAATTCAAATTTTTTAGAATTTTAATTTGGAAACTTTTCTAAATTCAATTATTTCTTAAAAATTTACCCTTTAACACTTTTAATATTCAATTATTATGAAAAAATTCTACAAGAATTCAATTATTGTAAATGCAAAAATTATTTAATGCAAAATTTATTGAATAATTGAATGTTTCATAAAATTTGAATTCTAATAAACAACTTTCTCCAAATTTTTTTTAAATAATTGAACTTTTTCGACAAATTTGAATAAAATTTTTAAGAATAATTGCATTTTCGAGAAATTTAATTAGAGTTGTTCGAAAAATAATTGAAATTTTGACAATAATTTTATTAAAATTTTAGAAAATGATTGAATTCTTGAGATAAATATTGTTTATTTATAGAAAATAATTCAATTTCAGCGAAGAATTTTGCTATTTATAAAGACAATTGAATTCTTGATGAGAATTTTAAAAAAAATTTTGATAATAATTGAATTTTTGTGATGAATATATTATTTAGAAAGTAATTGAATTTTGCAAAAAATTTTATTCAAATCCCGAAAAGTAATTGAATTTTTTTGGGTTATAAAATTTTAGTAGATATTGTAAATCGTTTAATTTAGAAAAAATTTGGAAAATAATTGAAATTTTGACAAGAATTTTATGAAAATTCTTGAAAATAATTGCATTCTCGTGATAAATATTGTTAACTATGCAAATAATTGGATTCTCGTGATAAATATTGTTAACTATGAAAATAATTGAATTTTGCAAAAATTTTTTTTTAAATTTTTGAAAATAATTGAATTTCATCGAGAAATTTTTTTTTATTTATAAAAATAATTAAAATCTTGACAAGAATTTTATTAAAATTTTTGATAATAATTGAATTTCGACGAGAAATTTTTTTTTATACATATTTATAAAAATAATTGAAATCTTGACAAGAATTTTGATAAAATTTTTAATAATAATTGCATTTTGCAAAGAATTTTATTAAAATTCCTAAAAATAATTGAATTCTTTTGGGTTATAAATCTAGTAGATATTGTAAATCATTGAATTTAGAAAAATTTTTGAAAATAATTGAAATTTTGCCAACAATTTTATTCAAATTTTTGAAAACAATTGAATTTAGGCAATGAATTTTACTATTTTTAAAAATAATTGAAATCTTGACAAAAATTTTAAAAAAAAATGAAAATAATTTAATTTTGCAAAGAAATTATTAAAATTCCTAAAAATAATTGAATTATTTTGGTTAAAAAAATAGTAGATATTGTAAATCATTGAATTGATAAAAAATGTACGAAAATAATTGAATTTTGCTCAAATAGTCGCATATAAAATAAATAAATCTGAAAAGAAGTAAAATAAAAGGTATAAAAAAAATAAAAAATATTAGACAGCGTGTGGAAATATATAATATATATTGGTTGTGGTGATAATTTTGCAATCCAACACGCATCGAAAAGGATAATTGAAACGAATTTTATACAAGGCAATCTCGCATTTATAATATATATATATATAGATACGTAGGAAGTACGCGGTTTGAAATGCGGAGCATATATTTGAAACGTGGCTCGAGTAACGTTGATGCAGCATATGGCAAACAGGAGGCGGAAGCAGAACCGGAAGTGGACCGGGTCGAGTTGAGCCTGACTCAGGAATGAACGAAATAGAATGGAATGAAACGCAATAGGTCTACATACTC